AGAGACCTGCTGACGAAAAACTGCCACTGGCCAGCGAATTAGTCAAATCCCTTAACCCTAGGAAATCTCATTAAAGAAATCCATGTCCGAGGAACACATTTCTGAAGGAAGAGGCTGCCTCTGCCGCGCAGGGCAGAAGCCAGGGCCATGGGCACACTGCTTTTCAGAAGTTAACCAGCAGATGCCACCTTTGCAGGTTGCAATCGAGAGAAAAAAAGCCAAACAAAAAAGCCTTTCTGTTTGAGAAGGCCGGCTCGCCAGAGGCACCCAGTCATCAGGTCAGGGGCAATCACACAAGGAATTTTCTGGAAGATTTCTCCTGCGATGCAGCTTCATTAGCAAGTAGGGCAGCGTTTCTGTTCATGCTTCCCTGGAGTAGGAGCAATTTCAGGGAATTGCTTGAGCAGCCCCGAGCTCAGAGCTCTGAGACAGGAGAGCTCACTCCATTGACGCACATTGTTTCAGGGGGCTTGTTCAAGAGCTTTTAATCCCCCCACAGATGCCACTTAGAGTTTTAATCAGCTCGAATGTTCATTTGGCATCAGCAAGTTATGAGCCAGCAACCCTTGGAGTCCTCAGCCAGCACCTAAGGAAGATGACACGGACGCGTGGGTCAGGGCAGAGGAGGGAGGTGGCAATGAGGGAGAGAGAACCCAGCACCTTCTGGTGTTAATCACATTATTTCCCCCTGCCTGGGAACAGAGGGTACAAGGGCAGGGGGCTGAGAGCCTGCTTGAGCTCCAAAGTTCTTCCTCATGCTCCGTATGTCTATTTGTGACAGATCTCTTGGGAGTTTCCTTAAACCCAACTGCAATGACCTCCCCCAGGAGGGAGAGTGGGGGTGAGGAGACACTAATAGACCATTTCACGATCCAGTCCATCCTCAGGGCTTCACTTCTCCCCAGGTAGAGTCAACAGTGCCCAGAAAGGTGTCACCACTCCAGAAGGGGACCCTGAGACCCTGTACCTGCTGCTACGGCCAAGAAGAGGAACAGACCTTGCTCTTACTGTCCCATGGCTTTTGTCTGTGCAAAGATTTGACTGAAGTCAAAGCAAACAGGGTTTCAGAAATGGAACCACTACCCTTATCCATGACTCGTTCACCTGCTCCTGGCCAGCAGGGTCAGAGCATTTCCACCACCTGGTAAATCCTAGAACAGAATCACAGAATGATTTGTGTTGGAAGGGACCTCAAAGACCATCTAATTCCAACCCCCCTGCCATGGCAGGGACATCTCCCACTAGATCAAGTTGCTCGATGCCCCATCCAGCCTGGCCTTGAACACTTCCAGGGATGGAGCATCCACAACCTCCCTGGGCGACCTGTGCCAGAGCCTGACCACCCTCAGGGGTGGAGTTGAGTGGTACCAACAGACAAGCCCCAACCTGACGCAACAGCCGTGCTCACCGATAGCTCACAGAGATGCTGCTGACACACATCCGAGCCCTGCCCTCTGGGTCTGCAACTCTGGAGGGCAGCAGTTTATCAGCAGTGCTCAGCTGGGCACAGCACCAGAGAGCTCTTGCCAGGGCCGGACACCACCACACAGGGAGAGCCGATGAGCTCGCTCAGCATCAGCTCCCGTTGCGTTTTGAAAACACCGAGAGAACAATGCAAACACAAGCAGTTGCTTTCAGCTGAAAAACCAGACCTACTGTTTCATTCACGGTGAAAATATCACCAAATATCATCTACTAGGACACGCTGCCTTCCACACTGATGACAACTGCTGTGGTTTGATGTCCTATGTGAATTAGAACGATTGAGTTTCTTATGTAACTGTAGGTGCCTCGCTCCTCAGCAACGTGTCTAAGGGTTGCTCAATCCACACTTCCCAAGACTGGAGGGTCCCACTGAAGCAGTGTCCGTGGGAGTCCCCTCGCCTGCCCTGGGGAGCTTGGAGGGCAGCTACAAGAGAGGCAGGCAGAGAAAAAGATGTTCCCACGTTGCAGGAAAGGAGGAGAGGAGCCCCAGCCTTCCAGGTTGTGAAATACTCCTTTGGGTGTGGTGGGTCACAGGGCTGGGCTATCACAGGGCAGTCAAGAGGCCATCAGCAGGTACTTGGCCCAATCCAGCCACTCCCTAATCGTATTGGCAAGGTTTTTGTCCTCTTTGCCCAAAAGGCATGCTTTTGGGAACAGGCTTTAGATAAACTCCTTTGCAGAAGGTGGGGAATCAGCACAAGCGTTAGAATAAGAAGGAGAAGACCTTCCTTTTGCCCAGAGAACTGCAGCCCAGGGGAAAGCAGAAACCAAGCCACAACGCCTTCCTGGCTGAGAACTGATATTTAACATCTATATTTTGGAAGGGTAAACGAGCACAAAACCTGTGGACTGGCAGGTGCATGCAGCATCCGTAACAGAACTAAAGGCAAAGCTGCTGGGACATGAAGGGAAATGGGAAGAGGTCAGTGGCATGCCAGAGAATAAGGAAAAACCTGACTGCCTGGGTGAGGCAGGGTTACAGTTTTCCAGGTTACAATGTGAGCCAAGGGTGAGCAGGGCCTGAAACTGTCCTGGGGATGAAGAACTCACTGCAGGGACCCAGCAGTGCCAGGAGCTATGCGTCGGTACCACAGCTAGTTCTAAGAGGTTACTTGAGTTTCTCGGTCAACTTAAATTACCTGAGAGCAGAATTCAGGCCCTGCTCTAAATCCCATTTTAAGCTTCTCAAGCGGGTTTCCAATTTAAGATTCGCATTTAGTAACAGCCAGAGGTAGGCTGGCTTTGAACGCACAAGCACATAATGCATTAGGCAAAAAAAAAAAAAAAGGAAAAAACCCTATGGGAAACCACACCAAATACTCTGCTGCCCCATAAACGGGCCAGAGGAATCTCCCCAGCTCCCCACAGCACGATGCTCGGGGTTTGAGATCAACATATGGTCAGTGCCGGGCTCTTATCGGGGCCAAGCAGCCGTGCTACGTATGCCAGGTTGTGTTATATAAGTGCAACCATCTCTGCTGCAGCTGTGTCACCAACACGGGGCTGATCGGTGCAGACTCACGGGATGGAGAAAGGAGATGGGGAGGTGGGGGGGGATGTTGCAGAAGGCAGCTGGGTTTTAAGCAAACAGCCCCCGGGTAGGACTGTCCCCTCGGTGTTTGTTATCCCTGCATGTACTATTCTGCAGATCTGCGCAGGATGAATTTTCCCCGGAGGGCAGGGGCCGGTTGCATAACTCAGCAGCATCGCGTCAGCGGATCGCAGATGGCAACGAAATCCTGACCCGACCCTCCGCCAGGCAAAGGAGCCAGAGGAGACCCAACGCCTCACCCTGGGGCAGGAGGTGGGGTGCCCTGCTCTCGCCCCAGGATGTTAATCACACCCATCTTAAGGGCTCACATTTCTGTAGATTCACACTCCTCCACCCTAATACCCAGCCTGCACTTGCACTGGGACCAGTTCGGAGCCCCAGCCCCAGGTGGGAGCAGTTGCATCAATTACTTGCGCTGGAGATCTAACGAGTATTAAATATTTGGCGGAGAGGACAGTGCGTGGACCAGCTGGGACAAACCAGCAGAGACAGAATCAGACCGACCCCACGGGCCTTCCCATTTCTATATTCCTATTCCTCTGCAAACAGCACAAAGTTTTACCTGGGCACATGCACAGAGAGAGGACGGGCAACACACATCGCTTCATGTAAGCTCAGGAATCCTCCGGTGGGCAGCACTGAGAGGTTTTTAGCAAAACCTGCCAAAATGCCTCCACCCTCCCCCAGTGCCCCGCTGCTGGAGGCTCACTCTCCGGAGCAAGGCTCCAGACTGAAGGCTGGGTGTTCACTGAGGAGAGCAGCCAGTCTGTCCTTCTCTGCTCCGGTCTACCAGGATCTGAGTGGTTTCAGGGCGAGGGAAGGGCTGTGAGCCCGAGCTGCAATGCCAGCATGTGACACAGGCAGGCTGTCAGATGTCTCCTGTGACCAGCAAGCGTCGGGCAGCTCTGCGGGAGCTTGAGAAAGAACCTGGGCTGGAAGACATGGGCCTCGCCCCTGGTAATCTGTAATTTTTCAGTTTCACTGAAGTGTTTGGCCAGAGGAATCCCTGGTAACAGCTCCTGTTTACAGGAGCCTCCAAGCCCTTCTGTGTCGCTGGTTAATGCCATCGTCAGCTTGCTTGTGTCCCTGGGGGTCCTTTCAGACCACGTGTGAACACCCAGACCTCAGGACCAGGACCTTCTGAGCTCGGGGCTATTTTGGAACCAAGCTGAGGGCAGGGGCAGAAGAGAGGGGACTCTGCTCGAGCGGAGCTGAGCGCAGTGTGAGCACAATGTTTTTGTAAGTTTCCTTCCTGAGCAGATGCGGGTCTACAAACCGAGACATTGGAGACCAAAGCATCCTACCAGGTCTGGGCAACCAGAGTTCACACCAAAGGGAAGTCCTGCCTTTAGCAAGGAAACGAAACAAGACAGACCAAAAGACAGGCCCACGTGCCTGGTACGTGAAAGCAAAGAGCTTCATCTGTGCCAAGAGGGACCTGCTGGTCTGCTCGGAGCCTGCTCGCTGAGCCCCGAGGTGCTCTGTCTGAGAGAAAGGGGACTGTGCTAGACAGCGAGGTGCTCCCAGAGCTAACAGCAGAAATTACGCTACAGAGCAGAGGAGGAAGAACTGGCAGCTCCTTCCCTGGCCCTAGGAGGGATGGATGTACCCAAAGCTGATGTCACAGTGCTCGCAGATCTTTCTGCTGTGCACTAGCCTGTCTCAGGGCCTCCTGCCCAGCCCTGCCAGCTCTGCTGGGCCTTTGGACGGCAGCAGGACATGCTGCTGCTAATTCTGTTTCCCACCTCTACTTTATTTTGCAGTAGAATCAGTGGGGAAAAAAACTCAGAAGCAGTGCTCTGATGAGTCACTATAGAAATAGCTCTGAGAACATAAAAGACTCCTTTGTGTCACTACAAAGTGCATTATCAGGCTGGTAGGGCAGACAGAATAATACAAAAAAACCCCAAAACCTGCGGATCACTTACCCAGTTGCAAAGCACAGCGGTGCCCTGCCCTGAATTTAAGCAGCACATGTAACCTGGTCCATTCTGGTTTCAAGCTCAAAGGCATCAGGTCGATCCTGTGGGTTAGCAGCCAACATGTCTTTCAAGAGCTGCTTGATCCCCTCAGACATGGAAGTCCTGCGTTTCTGAGGGATGTGCAGCTCCATCTTTGGGTTTTCTAGCAGCGCTTCCCCAACGGGCACAATCTCAGTCCCCTGCTTGATGTAGGTCCCTAGCAGCTCCTTCTTGGTCTCTGCATCAATGAAGGTTATCCTCTCAATCATGGCCCAGATGATGATGCCGAGGGCGAAGATGTCGGCCTTGGCGGTGTAGTGTCCCTCCCAGACCTCGGGCGCCATATAGAAATCGGAGCCGCAAGCCGAAGACAGCCAGTACTTGTTCACATTCACATTTTTGTTCTCGTGCCCGCCCTCCTTGCCCCGAGCAGTCAGGCCGGCACAGACCTTGCTCAGCCCGAAGTCGGCCACCTTGAGCACAGGGGTGCCTGACTTTTCAGTTATCAGGATGTTGTCTGGTTTCAGGTCCCGGTGGACAATGTGGTTCTTGTGCAGGAAGGCGATGGCGCTGGTCAGCTGCAGCATGAAGCTCTTGTTCGTTGCCGGGTCGGGTCTTCGTGAGAGCACGTACTGGTTGAGGTCTCCCCCTTCGCAGAACTCCATGACAAACCACAGGTAGCAAGGCTCCTCCGCGTGGCCCAGGACCCTCTCACCTAACCGAAAGGGACAAAAGCAAGAGTGGGTCTTTCAGGCACGTTACAAAACATCCACACTAATCCGGCACAGGCAAGGAACGGGGTTTGTTTATCACAGAACAGCTCAGGTTGGAAGGACCTTAGAGATCATCTGATCCAAGCTCCCTGCCATGGGCAGGGATGCCCTTTAACCAGCCCAGGTTGCTCAAGGGGCCGTGAGCAACTCCAGTAAAGGGGCGGCCCCAGCCTCTCTGGGCAATCTGTTCCAGGGTCTTGCCACCCTCACACTGAAGAATTTCTTCCTAAGATCCAACCTAAACCTCTTCTCCTTCAGTTTAAATCCATTTCCCCTTACCCTAATGCTGGACACTTTTGTAGAAAATCCCTTCCCAGCCTTCCTGGAGGCTCCTTTCAGGTATTGGCAGGCAGTGATAAGGTCCACCCGGAGTCTTCTCTTCTCCAGGCTGAACAATCCCAGCTCCCTCAGCCTGGCCTCGTAGCAGAGCTGCTCCAGCCCCTGCATCATCCCTGTGGCCTCCTTCAACAGATCCACGTCCCTCTTATGGTGGAGAGACCAGAACCGGACACAGTGGGTAGCAAAGGCCTTAGGAATGCGAGCGGCACCTCGCAGGCTGCAGGGTGCCAGCGGCGACACTGCCACTGCTGTGGCTTCAAGAGCTTTAAGATCCCACTGAGTGCCACACACCAGCGCCAGCCCCGTTAGCTGACGTCAGACCCCACATCACCTGCACACAGGGCATCATTTTGCTCTAGGAACTAAATTTGTTTTGGTTTTTGTAACCCTTTTAAAGATGAAGCTGAAGGACACCACTCGCCTCTGCCATAGCTAACGAGCCACGAGGATGAAGCAGAGCATTTCAAAAGCAGTTAAGTAACTCCACCCATTTGACAAAGTCAGTTTTTGCTTTAGCAGAGCCCTAGAGAGCATCTGAGAAAGCAAACTTCCAGCAGCAGGTAAAGCCAAGGACTACCAAGGGACGCCAAGCCCAATGGTCAGTGATCGGTGTGGGTGGGAATATTGGTTATTTGCACAAACAGTCTGTAGCCATGGCTACTGCTATGGAAATGAAAGTCTGCACAACAGAAGGATTTGGCTGCACCTCCCTGAACCTCGGCAGAAGATGCTGGTTAGGTCTGGGGGATGGGAGGGATCGTGACCAGGCTGGGTGCACTTTGAGACCCTCAAAAGCACCGGTGGGGGGCTCAGCATGCAAGCCCGAGGGCCAGCTGGGAGCCGCACAGGACAGCTCTGCTCCAGAGGCCAAAGCGTTGACCAGGAAAAGCAGCTTTTCTCCTGCGAGCCACCCTTTGGTGAGACGACCACAACTGCACACAAACTGAAGCAGGGGCTGCTCGTTCTGGGAGCAGGGGGCTTTGCAGAGTCAGGACAGCCCCAGCTCACACTGCTGCCACCACCTCGGGTCTGCTGAGATCTGGCAACGTCGCAGCACGGCCCGGGGCTTTGCTTTCCTGCTCTCCTCAGCATCCTCATTAGCCCTGATGTGGGGAGCAGGAGAGTTTGGCTCTTCTCAGTCAGGAACCACACCATGGTGGGGAGCACAGCAGAGCCCTGCTCGTCACACACGGCCAGGAAGGGTGAGAGCGCTCCCATGGCAGTGCTGCCGACAAACACAGGCTTATCAGCAGCCACGACCTGCTGCCTCCAACAAGCTAAGGTTTGTTTTAGGCATAACGAAGCCTCCAATTTAAAACTTGGCCCCTCACCATCAGTAAGAGCAGGGAGGGCGCCGCTGACCCAGCAGTAGCTGCAAGCGCTGTGCCCTTCGCTTCGGGTGGAGCGCTGCTAGGAGAGGCTAAAGCCAAGAGTAATATTTTCTCATTTTCTTTCTATAATCTGAAAGTGGTTTAGTTGTTAAATCATCTTCCTGCCTCCAAAACAAACAGCTTTAAACATAAAGAGCTGGCAAGTCGCTTCCTAAAGATGAGATGTTTGCAAACGGCAGCCAAGCAGCCAAGAGCTGAAAGGATGCTGACGACGGGCCAGATCTGTTCTCCATCACGAAGTGAGCATCCCCGCGTGCTCCCTGCCCAAACAGAGCATGGCACACACCGAGAGAATCACAGAACACTACGGGTTGGAAGGGACCTCTGGAGATCATCTAGTCCAACCCCCCAACCCTAACCTCTCCATCTCTGCAGCAGCCCTCCCACAACCTATCCAGGGAGCTCATTATCAGCTCACTAATTTGCTGTGCATCGCAGGAGGGGAAAAAAAAATATAATTTAACAGCAGAACCAGCATCCCACTCCCCACTGCCACGTGTAACCTCTGACTCCCTCTGTGGAAAAAGGCTGCACTGGAGAGACGAGAGCTGACAGCACAGAGCCCGGGTGCTTGGGCTGATGGTAAGACGCTTGGGTGACGCCAGGCCACACCACGAGTGACACTGAGCGCTGGTGACAAGTTGGTGGCCCCGTGGGTGACATGCTAGGAAGCAACAGCTTACACCTGTTCGCTTAAGGCAGCTCTCTCGCTGCTGTGGGTTGGGAACAACAAGAGGGGCACGTGGCCGTGCACAAGCCCTGAAGGCGTGCGTGTATCAGGACACAGCGTTCAAGTTCGTGCCTCTCCCTCAGGCTCAAGCTTCCAGCTTCCTTTTTGCTCCCAGCCCTTCAGTTTATTACTCCACGTCTCGTTAAAATGATGCAAGGTGCAGGCTCCACGCTGCGTAGCCGAGACCCGACGTCACCCGCTATCCTGACAGTTGTGCTCCCGATTCAGAAAAGTCCCCGACTAATCCCCGCGCCGCGCCTTGAGCCCCGGCGCGTTGGCACAGCATCTGTGCAGGCCCGTAAATAGCCCAGCTGCGGTCGTGCAGAATGGCACGGCAGCGCGGCTACGTGCCGGCTACCTCGGCCAGAGCGACGGCGCGGAGGTTCCGCGTGCTGCAGGCAGGGAAGGAGAGTGAGCAGACCTGGGAGGCTCCAGCATTTGTTTTGAAAATATTTCTCAGTTCTGTATCAGACCCAAAGCTTGGGAAGGCAGTGAGCACAGGCTGTGCCCCAGCCCATGGCCAGCACTGCGCAGCCCAGAGGGTGGGCAGGAGGAAGGCAGATGGAGGGGAGAACACATCCTAGTTTGGGGGTGAAAACTGTTGCTCCCCAGCCTGGGGATGGAGAGCCCAGCTCTGCTTCTCTTTCCAGAGGGAAGCAGCAGGGCCAGGGAAAAATCCGTCCCCACAGTCAGGGGTTTCTCTGGGGGGCACCTACAGCTACCCAAGAGCTTTCCCCAAGCCATGACACCCCTCTTGTGGGGCACAACATGACAGGGGAGGCAGGAAACCCCCAGCCCTGTCAGAAAGAGCATCCCTTGCTACAGCTACGTCAAGGGCAGAGGCAGCTCCTCTCCCAGCGAGAGAATGTAAGTGAAGCACTGAGGCTATACAGAAATTAGGAATATTGCCTTTCTTGGGGACGCTCCCTCGGGTGGCTGAGCGTAGAGGCTGAAGGGAGAGTAGGATCAGGGGAGAGTCAGGCAGGTCTGGACATGTCCCCCCAGGAGCTCGGAGGGGACAGGCAAAGCAGGGGCAGTCGGAGAGCCAGAGGTTTGCTCCGAAGGGGGTCTCTGCAAGCCTTGCATGAAATCTGTGCCCGACACAGGGTTTGGAGGCTGCCTACACCTGGGGGCTTAGCAGGGTGGGGGGCACGGGAAGACTGAGCTCCCCAAGGAGCATACAGGAGTCCTGGCACACGGGTTTGGGGAAGGAGGGAGTTGGGGTGAGGTGGCTCTGGCTGCAGTAGGCTGGGGGGCACGGTGGGACATTGAGGGATACAGGGCTCCAGTATTTTTCCACATCTCTGCTGCACATTGGCAGCGCTGGGGCTGACAAGCAGCCAAGGGAGCAGAGAGGAGGGAGGGAGCGTTTCGGAGATGTCACCGTCATCGACTGTGACACGAGGTGACCCCTGACAGCCTCGTGATGCTGGTGAGGGACCCTGGGGGGAAGATGGGGGTGTCAGCCCAGGTTACAGGCACTGGTTCTTCCAGGGCTGTCTCCACTGAGCCAGCACTGGGCAGGATGGGGGAAAGGGGGATAGGAGAGCACAAAGAACGGTCCTAAAGCTGTAACAGCTCAAGGGAGTAGGCAGGGCACCCTGATGGGCTGCAGCTTTGGGATGCTCAGAGGAGACGGGGCTGTGCATGAGGCAAAGAGTCCCTTTGTGTCTGCAAGGCGTGCACAGGCTGTGGCACAGCTCAAGGGTGTCATGGAGGAGGAAGAGGGAAGAGCTGGCAGGGGGTGCAGGGAAGGACTGAGAGCAGCATGCACAGATGGTCCCCAGGGCTGGGTCTGAGCCTGGAGGTGACAACAGGGTCCTCTCAGCACAGGGCTGGGGTGCTGCAGAGGTGCAGGGCACAGGAAAGGACCTCGCAGGCAGGACACTGGGCTGCTGAGGCACAGGGTGGGGGCTGCAGGAGGATCCCTGGGGAGCAGCACACAAGGGGAATGGAGGGGACACACAGGCAGAGCCCAAGGGCACAGTGCAGGGCACGTCCCAGGACAGGTGATGCTGTGCAGGGGTCCCAGGGGGTGCTTGAGGTGAATGGCAGCAAAGATGGGTGCTGGGGGGGCAGCAGAGGGCCCCTGTAGGGAAGCCCTGTGAGGACAGGAGGGAGGCAGGTGATGGGAGTGGAGGGGAGCATGCCTGGGGCAGGGACCTCAGTGCTGGCA